ATGTCATAAGAAGCAGAAATGGAACATGGTGGAAATGAGGGCAAGTAGAAGTTCTTGCATTTTCCATAGATGGAAGGATTTGGGCTGGACAGATTCTCACTCACTGGTCACCTACTCACCACCCAGTCTCCCCAACACACATAGCTCCACCTCATGAAAAAAAAATCAAGAAACAGATAGGAAGAAAACGTGGACTCATAATTGAAATTGATGAAAAATTAGAAAGAGTTAGCTTCTCAGCCTCATGGTATGGATCATGCAAATGATCAAGCCTATCTTTCATGTGTTTTATGAAAAATACCCAGATGTGATCTTCCTAGAAGGGGATGTAGATGGCTGTCAGAGGCCATCCAGTATAACTAACACCTAGGAAAGAGACCCCACTATAACATATCTGATAGATGGTCACCAAGCCTCTTCTGGAAGATGCTGTCTAAAGAGGGGGAAACTCACTGCCTCCCAAAACAATCCATTCTAAGTGCAACCGACGTCATTTTGTGAAGAGTTTTTCCTTACATCAAATGGTCCCCCTCTGCAATTTGCATCCATTGTTCTAAGTTCTAGGCCAAATAGAATTAGCTAATAATAGAATTACCCTTTTCCATGTGAGAGCCCTTCAAATGCTTAAGAACACCTCTTACGTCTTCCCTTGAGTCTTCTGTCACCATACCTTCAACCAGTGCTGATTTGGCATCATTTGGAGTCATCATCATTCTGGTTGCTCTCCTCTGTTTGCTTTCTAGTTTTTCAGGGTCTTTCCTCCTATAGATTATAAGCTCCTTGAACACAAGTACTATTTCATTTTTGTCTTTGTATTACTAAGGCCTAGCACATAGTATGTCAAGTCAACAAGAATTTGTTAAGTACCTACTATCTGTCAGCCACTGTGCCAAGTGATGGGTATACAAAGAAACGCAAAAACAGTCCCTGCCCTCAAGGAACTTACATTCTAAAGGCGATAACATGCAAACAAGTACACCTATATCAGATATATACAGGGTAAATTGGAGGCAATCTCAATGGGAAGGCACTATCAGGGAGGAGGGATAGATCATAGGTGTTTAATAAATGCTTATTGTTTGAAAAGAAAAAAATAGAAATGAGGAGCAGTAAAAAAAAAATGTGAGAGGCATGAAGAAGAGCAGTCACATGACAGTAGCTCCATTCCTAAGAACTCCTGGGGAAAGGTGGATAGGATAAGAGGGCTGCATTTACCACAGAAAACTAGATGTGTTTAGTATCCATACTAGAGGTGGGAAACCTGCAGCCTTGAGGCCACATGTGGCCCTCTAGGTCCTCAAGTGAGGCCCTTTGACTGAATTCACACTTCAGATCTGTGAAGTCTGGATTCAGTCAAAGGGCTGCATGTTCCCCACCCCTGAATACAGTATCTTTGCAATCATGGATAAATACAGTAACATCTGGTACTTAGCAATCTCATCTGAACAGCAGCTTCCTCACTCCCCCACCTGCAGCAGGACCCCAAAGGCAAAGTATTGTTAGAGGTGACAGACCCCATGGGCTACCTCTGTTGTCACTGCAATTAGATACTGAAGGAGAGGAGGAGGCTTCTTATGAGTTAAACCCCACTAGAAAATATAAATTTAGTATTTCCCAGAAGTAGAACAAAGGTACAAATAACTAATTAAATGAAGGAAGAGACCTATAGGTAAATTAGGTAGCACCTCAAAATAGAAAAGTTTTTTTTTAAAGCCCGCAAAGGAACTCAGTCCCATAGCTTTATTTTTGTGAGAAAATGGCAGACAGAATAATTTTGCAGATTTAGGGACTAGAATAGATAGAATGTAAAAAAGTGAAACAACTGAAAGAAGCCTTTCCTTATCTGTGGAGCCCAGATTAAATAACAGGGCCACAAAATTTTTAAGCTTGATAAAGGACAACAGCTTGATTTAGCTGATATTAACTTATCTTCTATCCTTCTGTCTACCCCTCCCTCCAAAGTAAGAAATATGGTTAACTTTTAAAAGTGGGGAGAAGACTGGACAGAAAACCTTGAGGCAGACTTGGAGAATTATCTACTACCTTCCTTTCCTCTCATTCCTCTTCCCTACCCTTACTGTCTTACAACCCAACCAATTTACTAAAATTTCTCTCTCCAAGATTACCTATAATTTAACTGCCAAATTCAATGGGCTTTTTTTCCTAAATTCTTTTTCTACTTCAGTACTTTATAGCTTCTGACACTGTCAACAATCCCCTTCTTCTGACTATTCTTTCCTGTGACAATGTTTTCTCTGGTATTCCTACTAAACAGTCTTTCTTTCTTTCTTTCTTTCTTTCTTTCTTTCTTTCTTTCTTTCTTTCTTTCTTTCTTTCTTTCTTTCTTTCTTCCTTTCTTTCTTCCTTTCTTTCTTTCTTTCTTTCTTTCCCTTTCTTTCTTTCTTTCTTTCTTTCTTTCCCTTTCTTTCCTTCTTTCTTTCTTGGTCCCTTTTCTTGGACCATCACTTTGCACCTGCCAATTTCATTTGGGTACCTTCCCAAAACTCTGTACTAGACCTTCATCTCTACCTACCCCTCTGCCTTGGTGATCGTGATTGTTCTCATGTGTTCAATTATCATCTCTATAAAGGTGACTTCCAAATCCACATGTATAGCTCCAATCTTTCTTTAATTCTGGCTTATTGTTGGATATTTCCACTAGAACACTCCACAGGCATCTCAAACTCAACATATCCAAAAATGAAACTGATCATGTTTTTCCAAAGCCTACACCTCTACAAGTTTTCTTATTCATGTCGGTGTCAACACCATTCTCCCACTCACATTGCCTCATCACCCACTCCCTGGTCATTCTTGACTCATCCCCCTCTCATACCCTTTCTCATCATCCCCTTTCACTCACTCCCATGGCCACCATCCGTAGTTCACACCCTCATCACCTCTTGTCTGGATTATTGCAATTGCCTCCCAATTACTCTCTGTATATATACTCACATATAACAAGCACATTGTTTTGTACTTAGGAGGCATTTAATCCGACATCTCTTGATTTGGGGAAGGGAGTATGCATTTATATAGTGCCTACTGTGTGCCCAGAACTGTACTAAGCCCTTTGCAAATATTATCTCATTTGATCCTTATAACAACCCAGCAAATCATGTGCTATTACTATCCCAATTTTACAGTTAAGGAAATTTAGGCAAAGAAAAGTTAAGTGACTTGCCCAGGGGTCACACTGCAACTAAGTGCTGGGGGCTGCATTTGAACTCAGGTCTTCCTGACTGTAGGTCCAGAGCTCTATCACTTGTGTCACCTAGCTGCCTCTGTACCATCTAGCTTCCTGAATTGAACTGACATGATAGAGAATGTGATTGAAAAAAAAAAAGCTAGAAGTGACAGAGTAAGAGCCCAACAGTAAGGGCCTAGATAAGGTAATGTGGCAAGAATTCAGAGTAGAAGAAATCAGTTATCTATGAAATCAGAATGTTCAGGGAAGATATTTCTGAATAAAAAAAGGGTCTTCTAAGACTTTCATTTAAATTAGATCTCTTTCTCCCACTCTAAATGAGCAGATGCTCTACCAATATCTTATACAGGTGTTCTCCCTAATTTGTCAGAGCTCTTTGGAAGTTATGAAGGAGTCCAGAGAGGTAACAAAACTCCAACTGATATGTGTGTGTGTGTGTGTGTGTGTGTGTCTGTGTGTGTCTGTGTGTGTGTGTGTGTATACACAGCCAATTTTTTTTAGCCTGGACCTGTGATTTCATTGGTGCTAAGGAACTCCAAAGAAAAAACTTCTACGAATAAAGATCAGTTCAATACCTGCTCTGCCACTGACAGTATTGATAATAACTACATATGTGATATATATATTATAAGAATAAATTATTTTTTATATTTTGTTTATATTTATTATACTCATTATATAAAATAGAAAATCAATAACAATAATAAATATGTAAATAAACACATATGTACATATATGCATATGTATTTATATGTGTATTCATTTACTTATTTATCTGTAGCACATAAGAAGTGGCCTGGCATTGTGGACAGAATGAAAACATAAAGTCAAGACACATAGGCTTAAATCCCTTCTTTGCTATTTATTAAATAAGTGACCAAAGGTTAACTGATAATTCAAATATTTTCATATGTCAAGAACTACATTATTTATAAAACCAAATGTATGTACCTCAATAACTAAAGTCATGTCTAACTGACTATGAAGCAAAGATAAAGGTAATCAATGAAGCAGATTAAAATAAGAAAGAAATAAACTTCTTGTTATCAAAAGGCAACTGTAGAATACCATAAAAACAGTTACATTTGGAGTCAAGATCTGCATTCAATTCCCATGGCTACCACTTCAACAAATAACTAAGTACTCTGTGCCTCAGTTTCTCTGCCTTCAAAATGGAATAATAATACCTGTACTTCTGATCTTAATAAATGCTTAATGATTATTAATGGCATGTTGACTTTACAACATTGTTTTGATGATCAAATGAGATCACCAATCAATAAATTAACAGGCATTTATTAATCTAATACATCAAGCAATTAACAAGTATTTATTAATTGCCCACAATGTGCCAGTGCTAAGCACTGGGGATAAAAAGACACAAGTAAAATGAGCCCTTCCTGGAGCTTACTTCATCTGGAAGTAAGAGCTTCATCATGGAAAGCTTTGAAAATTATAATATATTATATAAATGTCATCCATTAATCATTATCATCATCAATATTATCATTATTAACAGAAGCTTCATTTTGGAAAAGAAATGCAAGAGGACAGGAAAAAACAAAAACAAAAAACCTAGAAATAGTAGACACACTATCCAAGGATCTACAGAATTTGTTCAATGGAATTGGGGAATAGGAAACAATTTTCTGATCCACCTTCCCTGCTCAAGAACTGAAATAAATCCCAATGCTTTTCATCATCCATTTGTTTGGGAGGCATCACTGTTTTGTTTTGGCTTGTTTTGTTTTTTAATAAGCCATACAAAATTATTCAGGAGAGGCAGACATACCTTCTGGGGGGGTCCCAACACTGCTCCCAAGGCCTAAAATGGCCACTGAATGGTTTCTGGGTTCTAGCATCACAGCGGACTCCTGCCCCCTTTCCCAGTGGGGCACTTTGACAGGTTCCATATGGACATTCTCCAACCCATCATCTATCAGGTTCTGGTACATAATTTTGATGGCTTTTTCTAGGTTTTGGGAGCCACTCAGTCTAGGTCCAACGGTGTCAACCAAAAGTGCCAGTCTCTCATAGGATCTGTTCTGGGCTTTGCCACACACAGCAAGATCTACAATGGCCTTAGCAACATCTTGGTAGCCTTCTATTTCTTCCTTTATTTCTCCAAATGTCTTCAAGTGCCCAACATCTTTACACACAGCCCTCCCTGAGCATGAAGGTAAAAGATGAAGCACACCCACGAAAAGGAAGATGAGAGGGGTCATTGTCTTTCAGATGGCTTTCCCTCCTGTGAGAACCTAGGAGAAGAAGAAAAAGTCACATATGGCAAGCAATCTCACTGCCAATCAACCATCCTGTATTTCTAGAGAGAGCGGAGAAGAATTGTCTAAGAAGGAAAAGATCCAATTATGAGTGGTATCACATAAACAAATGCTACAAAGAACTCAGGACAAAGCCATCAGCTTCCATACTGAAATAGCTATAAGGAGAAGATGGTGTTTTTAGGGTATAAGGTCATTTTACTTTGGATGTACAGGTTTGCTGAAGTGGAAAAAAGTACATGAAAGGTAAATCAGAGGGCAATTTTTCACTTTACAAAGGGATTAGCTATAGAATGCCTTTTAATCAATCAATAAGTATTTATCACATGCTCCGAACACTCCCAGAGTACATTACCAAAAACATAACTGACCTACGGCTCTTCAGAAATATCTCTATTGTTTAATGTGTGCCTATAAAATTTATTTAACAGCCTGTTTTCAACTTCAGAAATGAAGGAAAATGGCATAGAAGATAGAATCTTGGGATTGGAGGCACAAAGGCCTGGGATCTAATCCTACCTCTGACACTAGCTCAGTGACCCTGGACAATGCCTTAACTTCTGTGTATTCCAGGCAACCCCTATGATTTCTCTGCTAAATGATAGAAAGGTTGGTGGATAAGTTCCCATACTAGTCATTCCAAAATCAAAAGTCCTTCAAATAGTTGATTATGAATGCAAAGGAAGATCATTTATTCACTCATTAATAAACACATCTACATAACTGTCTGGATTAGTACCACAGGTAGGTAGACTGATCTTGGCATTATCTTTAAAAATAGGCAACAGATCAAGGTGTGCAAGAAGACATTTAAACAAACAAGAGGGGGCTGAGGGGAAAGGCTGAACCTCTCATCTGAACTGGTCAAAAGAGGGAAGAACTCACAGAGAGAGAGAGAGAGAGAGAGAGAGAGTTTTGTAAAGAAATATATTTCACTCAATAGGGAAAAAGGAAAGAAAGGGAAGAAAGGAGGGATTAGTTCCAAGGAGAGAAAAAAAATTAAGGATGTACAAAAATATTTACAGCTCTTTCTGTGGTGAGAAAGAATTGGAAACTCAAGGGGTACCCATCAATTGGGAATGGCAAAACCAGTCATGATATATAAATGATATAAAAATATGACTGTGCTACAAGAAATGAATAAGGGGATGGTTTCAGTGAAACCTGTGAAGAATTGTATGAACTGATTCAGAGTGAAGGGAGTAAAATCTATATGACAACAGTGTAAGAAAGAGAAACAACTTAGGAAAAAATAGGAACTCCAATTAGCATAAGGACCAACATGATTCCAGAGGACTCATGATGAAATATGATACCCACCTCCTGATAGAGGGGTGAAAAACTCAGGGCTCAGAATTAGAGATTTATATAGGTATAGATATATTTGGACATGGCCTATGCCATTTGTTTTTCTCGACTGTACATGTTTGTAACAGGTTTTTATTTTTCTTTTCTCAATTAAGAGAGCTGGAATGAAAGAGAGGGGAAAAAATGGACTTTTTCCTGATTGAAAAAATAATTTTTTAATTTAAAAAATGGACAAAAACTATAGGCAACACATGTTCAAGAGGTGTCCTGTTTCCTAGGCCATCAGAGAAGTACTGCTATTAATTCTAGTGACACCCCTACCACAGGGAGTGTTCATTCCTCTAAGATCCAGAGCAAAGGTGCAGCTGGGTTTCAGGAGGAAGAAGCATGGGCCAGTAGGAAAAGCACCAGGCTTAACCTCCTCTAACCAGTCCTAACCATGAACTCGCAATCTGGAAATGGATAAAGAACTTAAACTTTCAGTAACTGACAAATGATAAGCATTTAATAACTCCCTTATCATGCATTATTTTTAAATAAGAAGAAAAATATCTACTTTTCCTACCTCACAAGATTGTAATATATTTGGGATGGAAAGGACCTTAAGCATGATCAAGTCCAATCCGCTAATTTTATAGATGAGGAAACTGAGAATTAGGACAGTTTAACTGACTTGCTTGATATTACAAAGCTATCAAGTGTGAGGGCTACAACTTGAACCCACCTTGTCTCCCAGGCAAACTATACCATGTTGCCTCCCCAGGAATACTGCAAAGATGACTCATTATAGAGCTGAATATACTTTTTGTTAACATTTACAGAGTTTTATGGTATATAAAAGTGCTTCTCTTTCAATGACCCTTTGGGGTAGGAGGCACAGGTATCAGTATCCCCATTTCACAGATGAGGAAGTTGAGGGTCAGATTAAGTGGCTTATCATACCACAACTACCAGAGACCAGACTCAGTATCAGGTCTTCTGACTTCAACTTGAGGGTTATTTTCACTAGACCAACCCAGTGGAATAAATGGTTCCTGGTCTTTACCGTCACTTCACTTCAATTTTTCTCTTTCTATAGGATGGTTTCTAATCCAATCAAAATATATACCACCAGATAGAAATTTATCCTTGAAAATATGAGAGCGAAATGAGTTTTAACAGAATAAAAAAAACCTCATCTATTCATCTAAATAACCACCATCACCATATCAATATCGTCTCATCAGACAATCTCTAAGCACTCTGCAAACATTAATTAGCTTCCTTGCAACATTTTTCTAAGGTGGGATTAGAACCATATAATCAGAGACTTTTCAAGACAGAAGGGACCTTGTAGATCATCTCAATCATCCATTTATTTTGGAGAAAGTTAATAAAGAGATGACAACAGCTGGCATCTGTATAGCACTTTGTGGTTAGCAGAGCCTTTTACCCGTCATCTCCTTTGATTCTCACAACAACCCTGGTAGTTAAGTGCTACTGTGATCTCCATTTTACAGATAAGGTAAACTGAAGTTCTGTGCATTGCCTGGGGTCACCCAGCTATTTAAGTATTGGAGGCAGATTTGAACCCAGGGCTTCCTGACTCCTAAGCAGCATACAGTTAAGAAACCAGTGAATAATATTCTTTTATAAAGTGGATAAAGGGTAGCCACCCAATAATATGACCAACTAATCAGTTTCTACTGAGGATTATATATAGGAAGTATAGATGGTAGAATTCCAATGGGCAGCCAAACTCTCTTGTCTTATGTGTTATGTGTGGCTCTGACACTGTGGGCACTATAGAAGTACTGTTGTTGTTCAATTGTTTCAGTCATGTCTGACTCTTCTTGACTCCATTTGGGATTTTCTTGGCGAAGATTCTGGTGCAGTTTGCCATTTCCATCTCCAGCTCATTTTACAAATGAGGAAACTGAGACAAACAGGGTTAAGCAACTTGCCCAGGGTCACACATGTAGTGTCTGAGGCTGGATTTGAACTCAGGAAGGCTCATCTTCCTGATTCCAAGCTCAATGCTCTATGTACTGTACCACCTAGCTATAAAATATTTAAGGTTTACAAAGTGTTTTACATATGTTATCTTATTTGGTCCTCACAACAGCTCTAGTGAGCTAGTTTTTCATCCCAGTTTTACAGACAAGGAAACTGAAGCTGACAGAGGTTAAGTGCCTTGACAGGGTCACACAGCTAATAATTGCCTGAGGCAGGATTCTACTTTAGGTCTTCCTGATCCAAGTCTAATACTCTAACCACTGTGCCACCTAGCTGATGGAGTTACTACCTCCAAAAGTGAAGACCACAACCCATCCCAACTTTATCATCCTTTATAATTACTGTCTATGTCTTCTACAAGATGTCCAGCCAATGAGCTAGGAATCTTCTTCTAGGTCTGACATATAGGAACCAATACAAAATGCATCCATCTATTGTTTTACCCATCTTTTCCCAAACAAGCAGGTCCTTCTCCTTTTCTGGCCATACATATCTTTACTGATACTTTTGAGACTACTTTTTGCTTTCAATTGATAACTGTTAGTTACGTTGCAGCATAATATTTTCACCAAGCATCTCTCCATAGCTCTAATTAAGCTAAAATTAAATAAATATAACATTAAATAAACATATACTCTCCTACTCAAAGGCCTTGAGGATAAAATACAAACTACTTAACCTGATATAATCTGGCTCCAAGATTTAATCCATATTATCTCCCTTCATGTACTCCATGCTCCAGCCAAACTGGAACTGTAGCTAATCTCCAACCTCAATATTCTGCCCCTCACCTTCATTCAATTACACAAGTTGTCCCCATTGCCTGGAATGTGTTGTCTCCTCATCTCTATGATCTCCACTGCTTACAAACTTCCTCTACTTTCAAGGTTCAGTTCAGATGTGACTTCCTCAATGGAGCCTTCCCTAATGCCACTGAGGTTAGCTCTTCCTCCTTTCTAAAATGATCTTCTATTTCTTTTTCTGTGTACAAGTATCTCCAGTTACATGAAACTCCCCAAAGAAAAGAGCTGGTCTTATAAATTCATCTTTGTATCTCTAGTGCCTAGCAGAACATCTTAAGAGAATACTTAGTATTTATAAAGGATTTTAAGGTTTGCAAAGCAATTTACATGCTATCTTCTTTGATCCTCACAACACCCATGTGAAGTAAGTAGGTGCCATTATAATCCCCATTATACAAATGAGAAAACAAGCTGAGAAAGGTTAAGTGACTTGCTCAAACACACAGCTAGAAAAGATCTGAAAACTTAGTTCTTCCTGATTGCATGTCTAGCTCTCTATCCACTATGCCACTAGCTGCCAACACATAGTAGATGTGTCTTCTTCTTTCCTTTTCTTTTTGCCCAGGGTCACATAGCTAGTAAGTGTCTGAGACTAAATTTGAACTCAGGTCCTCCTGACTCCAGGGCCAGTGCTCTATCCACCATGCCATCTAGCTGCCACACATAGTAGATGTTTCTTGCAGTGAAATGAATTACATTCTACAGATTCTGTAAAGAGGGAAATCAATTCTCCAGGATTTTTGAATGATACTGGATTAGCCTCCTTTCTTTCTTGAGCAATGATTTCTTTCACTGAACTGTCAGTATTACTGTCCCATCTCTTTCTATCTTGTTTCACCTCCAGGCCTAGCCCAAAAATGCTAATATCAA